TTTTTAACAGTGCACACACGTTTCTGATTTGAGGGGCATGCAGTGTAGGGTGTTTCTTAAACTACTGTCAGACTAGCCACACACGGTTTGGATTTCTTCTGTGTTTGATGTATCATTTAACTAAATCTGTGTTTTTCCAATGAGGTACAACCTTTCAGTGATGCTGTTTTCTAGGAAATATGTAGGTGAACGCTGCTGCTTCTTTTGCAAAGTATTATTTGAATGGAGCTAGGAGGGACAGGATATGCTCATTTGCACAATTAAAAATAACTTACAATTTGAACTGTGGCATCAGATGCTTCAACAGATTTCATTTGTTTGAACAGATTACATGCTCTTTTCATAATGCCTTTTTTCCAGACCTCAACTTAAAATCGTTTAATTAATTTACCCACAAATTACCTCATTTTCATTGCTAGGCTGCTGATCAACTACCATTTAATCACTACAGCAATTCTTTCTGCAGAAACATTAGCAGCATTGTAGCCCTCAAATGCAATAAAGAAACATCCAAGTCACCTGAGAGAAAGAAAGGTGAGGCAAAATGTTACACCACAGTTCCTTAACCACCCTTCCTAACCAGGATGGCTTTGTATCATTGCAGTCACAGAAGGGAGGAAACTGTGATCTCTGTTTGGCTGTGCACTGCCAAAGTTAGTGGGATATTTGTGGATGCTGGGTGGGAACAGGCCCTTACAAATATTCAACAAGCAATAGCAAAGCTTATACTCTGCTCTGGATTGATCTGAGTCACGAGGAGCTCAAGCTGTCAGTCAGCAAGAGTGCAAGGAGGGCTGATTGTTCTGGTCACCTCGCTGGAGCAGAAGAAAAATTCAAGATGCACATCCTCCTTGTAGTACCCCCACATACTCTCACCTAGATGAAAGCTTAAGGACAAGAATCATGTTTTCTTACAGGCCTGTTTTTTCCACAAAGTGTTGTCAACCTTCTCCACCCCTTATTTTAATAAAATAAAACCTACCATCCTTTTGACCTTGGACTTGTTCATTTTCTCTGTTTCTCTCAGTACATGCTCTTTGCTAACCATTCAGCATGCTGTGAGCCCTGATAAAAGTGGTTAATGTTTACTGAAACCTGCGCATGAACTGTACTAAACCTGATGCAGGGGGAGGCAAAGTTCTGCTAGCAGCATCCATGACCAATTAAAAATAAGCTTGTTTTTCTTTTCAAACTCATCCCCCCCTGCTAAACAGCTGCATGAGTAGATGGGCAGACAGGTCAGGGAGAAGACTGAAAAAATTCTTCTAAAACACCCACCTAGACTCTTCAAAATAAGTCCCTATTCTGAGTACTACAGGCCTTTCAAGAATACACAAAAGGAATGAAAGAACTACTGGGGTTCTCTTCCTGGGGGATGCATACTTTATCCCCAAACAATTGTTTTCCAAAACAGTCTGAAAACCTGCAAGTCTAGCAGAACTGTTGAGTGTTCCATTTTAGCTTTCCCTGTAGAAGTCCAGGGACAACCCTTGGTTTGAGCAGTCTTCAAAACATCCTATAAATTAAGTGAAAAAGCAGAATATTACTACTGTAAATCAAACTACTACTAGTTGATCAGTATTATTCAGAGACTTTAAATTTACCACAATTTCTTCCCAGCAGAGACAGACTTAGAAACAATCAGCAGTTTCAACAGCTGTATCTGTGCACAGGAACTATGTTTTGTAGCATAGACTAAATGCGTGCATTGCCCCTTCTTAGCTTACTGGCATTTTCTCTGTATCATAATAACCAGCCCAGAGAGCTCTTACAGACAGCTCCTGCCTCCCTCCCACTGTCTGGTGATAGTGGGATGCTCTCAGGTGTTCAATGACAATTTTTTTTTTTATTTTTTTTTTGGTACTAGAGGGCAGCAACAGTGCCGCAGTCACCTTGGAAACAACCATCACCCACTGTTTGTAGAACAAACAATGGTACCTTTTCAGCCAGCGCAAGGCAGGCAGGGCAAGGGGCAGCCAAGCAATTCTGGGACTTACAGGAGTGTTAACATATTGCATTCATTCAGTGCGTCAAAAAATAGTTCAGCACGAGGAGCAAGACGCTCTCAAAGTGAGAGCCTTTGGCTGCAAACCACAGACAAGTGCACAGGGCTCAGAAGGTCAAACAAGTCTCCCCAGTCAGCAACGAGGTCTTTTCCTCTGATTTTTTCACTTGCCCTCCTGTTCCCCTCTTTCATACACACAGAAGGAAGAAAAACACACCTATTTAAACTGATCTTATCCAAGAAAAGTCAAGTGTTCAGCTTCCAAGTAGCACTCTCTGAAGTTTCCTCAGTGTGCCAAAATATTTTAAAGAACTGTTTACCCGCACTTGTAGTGCTTTGTACCCAATGCATCAAGAGCCGTTTCCAGAAGCGTTCCTTGTGAAGCTAGTGAGGATTGCGGTTACTCAGCATTTCAGACCGTATGCCTAAGCACTCAAACAGTTATATATCCCTCTCTTCTCAAAGTAATTCCATTTTCAGAGAGACAATCTGCCTGCTTTAAAATACAGATGATGTACATCTGGCTCTACACTAACTTCTCAGTGTCTTCTTGTCTCCTGGATACTTTTTTCTCTGCTCAAAAAAAAATCACCCAGGACCAAAGAAGCCCTTCTTACCTACAGTAACCACAGGGAAAAGCTAAATATTTAAGGATTCAAGTTTTATCAATTTAAACACACTCTCACAACGTGCTCTGCTCTTGTGGCCTGTCGCAAGTGGAACGTTCAAAGCAGAACGGAGACTGAGGCATCACTCGGATACTTTAGTGCTTTACAACCTTCCCACTCCAGCTCGCAGACACACCTACATTGCTGAGAGCAAACTGACAGCAGTCCAGCTGCCCAGCTCATCTGTACGGCCACTTGGCAAAGGATTGCAAGGCCCTACAAAACCACCCTGCTGCTTAGCTCGTGCTTAAAAGGGCACCCAGGTGTGCTGTGAAGGAGTGCCAGGCACAACACACCCAGCTGAGAACTGTACTGAGGTGATGAGAGCTGTACAAAGGTACAACAAAGCAGCTCTTGGGCGAGATCTGTAGATTTCCACATCACAGTATAAACACTTTTCTGTAGCCTTCACTCATCTTTCACAGCACACTCAGCTTCAGACCACCAGAAGCACTGACCGGTGCTGCGCTGCAAACTAAAGCCTCCAGCAAGCTTGTCCATCTGGGCTGGACAGGTTCACTCACGACTACAACCATGGTAGCTCAGCTGAGTCAGACAAACATTACTAAAAACCTACCTTTACGTTCATTAAGATGCAGGTTAACACATTAGCTGGCCTTGCACAGCCACAAACATGGCTTTGGACATGGTAGGCTGTACCTTAAGGAGCATCAAGAGAGCTTTTTTTTTTTTTTTAATTGTGTTCGACTAACTCACTTGACCTCAAACAATTGAGACACACACCCTTTTTGCCTGTCAGGACAGGGTCCTTCTCTGTCTTGCACTGCTGGGACAGGAGAAGTGAAATATGCATGGAGGTGATTCACGTACAACCCATCCTTCACTTACTCCTAATAGGGGGTGGAGGGGAGGGAAGCATATGGGTGAAAAGCCGCAGCTGTTCCAAGGCTATTCCAACTTTACAGCACACTATTTATGGAAAACAAAACAAGGGGAGCAGAAAAATAGGATTTGAACATTACCGACCTAAAAGAATCATTGTAAATACCTCCTGCTCTGTGCAAGGGCTACCCTGGGCTCCATCTGCCTTCAAGGCCGGGAAAGGAAACATTAAACTTGAACAGCAGCCAGGATTCACTGTCTGGCACCTAACGTGCTTCCATGGGGCAGTCTCTGCCTGTGACAGAACACAAGGAGGGCACTGCCCAAGCCTCGTTCCGGCTCTGCCCTTGGCCCTGTCACTGTGAGCGCCAGCCAGAGCCCGGCCAAGGGGCAAACACAGCTCTGCCCTCGGCCCCAGCATCCCCAACCAGCCCCGGGTTGGGATGGGAGCGCGTTCCTCGCAGCCCAGCAACCGGCTCCGGTAATTTTGGCAGAGGCAGGTGCTCCAGAGGGCTCTGACGCAGCAGGCGAGGGAGGCGCGGGTACCAGTCGGACGGGAACACGCTCCCGCACAGGACAGGCTGGGGCTGCTGCTCAAGGCACCGCAGCGCTGCCCAGACGAACAGGGATGCTGGCACACCCCCTTCGCTCGGGCATCACCGCCACAGCTCCCCGTGGCCGTGCCCGGGGGACCCAGGCCTCCCTGCTTTCCTTTCCTT